GCAACGATCCTCGCACCTCAGCCTCCCGAGTACTGGGATTACAGGTGTGAGGTACGCCCGGCTTGTCCACAAATATTTATAGAGGGCCCACTATGCACCACGTGGAACTACAAAGGTAAGTAAGAAAGTCAAAGTCCATTTCTTAGTGTATTTGCTTCTCGTGTGAGATATAGACAGTAATTGAGAGAATAAATGAATGAAGGAATGCTCCCAGGGGTCAATTCCATGAAATGAAAGAGAGGAGCTAGCAAAGGATGGCTGTTTATATAGAGAGCTAGGAAAGACTACTTGGAAATTCAGTTATAGGTCTCCATCCTGGACCCTCTGACTCAGCAGCTGCTTTAAAAAAAAAAAAATTTAGCAGCTGCATTTGAACAGAAACTCCCACCATAGAATGCAAGACTGCATCAGAATCAGAAGCGTGAGGTTAAAATACATTCATATATACAAGACTTGAAGGGAAGGAAATGGGATAAATGCCACAGATCTGCTGCTGCCCCTGGTCGTGCAGAAGCAGTTGGTATCGGTTCATTTCCATTCCTCCAGGCAGGATCCATTACCCAGTAATGCCACCCACACAGTCGTCGTTGTGGATCTATGAGACCAGGGAGGTCCTGCCCTACTGAGGCTGTGCTGGTCTCACTTCCTACTGCCCCTGCTCCCTCTGAGTATCAGAAGGCTCAGGTCCTCTTGCTGGTCAGAATCAATAGCCCCAGCTAAATCCCCATTCCTCTTCTCTGCTGTTCACCCAGAGAGAAGTTTAGGTCAGCTGGTATTCTCAACATCCTTGCATCCCCTGGTAGGAGCACTCTTTCCTTGGAAATTAACATCTCTGTTCCCATATTTCAGGAGCAGGACATTGGGTGGGATTGCAAGGAACATCACTACTGCTGCTGTTTCTCGATGTCCCAACTTTGTATGTGATACTCGCTACCATGACACCACAACCACACAGTCACTTCTCCTTCATCTGCTTCTGGAATTAATATTTCACTGGGCCACTCCATACTCCTATGGGTCTGGCTGGTTTGGGGTATTGGGGCAGCTGGCAGGAATCTGACCACATGCCTCTTTCTCATGCTGCTTTCTCACCAGTCCCTCGGTCTTATTTCTTCCTAGTGCCTCTCCAACTGGCCAAATCATTGGCCATGGACCATGATCATTGTAGAGCTTAGGCCTTCTGTTCTTGCAGCCACAACAGCGGGATGCACCACTCAAAGCACTGCCCGGGCAGACTACTTCCCTGTTCTGTCCTTCAGGGGTACTCTGCATGGGGCCACACTACCACAGCAGCCACTTCCAGCTGGTGCCAGCACACCACGCAGAGTCATTTGTAAACCAGGCACAAAATTTTTCTCTTCAATGAGCTGGCTATGGGGAGTTTCTATAAGAACATAAACATAGACTGAAAAAGATATATATAACAGGCTGGCAGCATGAGCCACCAGCTTGTGCAATAAGCTTGGCCTTTCAGGACCTTCCTGGATCCAGACCTATTTAAGCTATCTACACCTGATGAAAGAAAGCTTCTGGGCATGCTCAGTTTAATGGTTAGGTGCATCAGACAACATGGTGGGTATCTTGGATTCAACAATTACCTCATAGTCCATGGTCAGGTGTTTAGTCTCGGCGAGTGCCAAGGGGCAAACCAGGAACTGTTTCTCAAAAGGTAAATTATTTGCCAAAGAAGACTTGGACTTGCTCCCAAACTGAAGAGCCTCTGCTGGGATCCTCTTACCCAGTCCTGCCAAAGGCTCCATGCAGCACTGCAATCTGCCACAGACACTCAAACACTATCGAATCTAATATATCATGAGAGCTTGGCTGGAAGTCTTAACCATCTCGGACTCCATGGAAGCCAGCAGCTTTTTTAATTACTCAGGAAACAGTTTGAAGTAGTACACACAAATATAGGGTGTGTTGTTTTTAAAATCTAGATTAGCTCACCAAGCAATGTGCTTCTTTCTTAGTGGTCAAGGATGGAAACTTTAACAACCTGTTCTTTATTTCAGAGGGAGGTGTGGTGAATTTTCCAGACCACCATTTCACCAGAAACTTAACTGGGACCCTGGTATTTTCATAGGCCTCCCTCCTAAAAAAACAAAACTGCATTTCAAGATATCTATTGTTCTATGACTTCTGGGACCAAATGGCAAGATATTACCACAGTACCAGACTTATATGATGCCTTGTGGGTGACGAAGTGATCAAGGTCCCCATGAGCTAACTTGGAGAGTTATGATTGGAGAGTTGCCAGCCCTGAGACAAGATGTAAAGTGTGCTGTTGTCCCTGCCACAAAATATCAAAGTACTTCTGATGTTTCCTGATGATCAGAATAGAGGGAAAATACTATCTATGTGTCATATCTGCATTAATTTGTTCCAAACATGAGACAGACTGCAATTGAAAAATTGTGGAATTATAATTGAACCACCATCTGATTAATTATAATCCATTTCATTTTTCAAGACTCATTCATTTTATGCACTTGCAAAATTTAAAAGTTAAATGGAATCACCACCCCTGCATCTCTTTTTGACAGTAGCTATGATCTTTTTTTGGTTTTCCTGAGATGTGTTATTACCCATGACTTACAATCTTGATATGACTTGGGAATCTATGGTGGCTTTCCCTTGCTCCACGGTCAGGGAGCCATTGGAGTAAATCTGCAGCACCTCAGGGTGTCTCTTCTAGCTCTCCACTGTGAGATCCTCGGAAGGAACCACAGGAAGTACTGTCTGCCACAAAGCAATTTGCATTAATCTCCACTCTACTTGGTAAACCTTTGGGGTACCTGGATCTTTAGGAATTTATAATAGTACAGTCCTAGTGTCCAGTAATTTTCAAAAGAGCTAATATCTCTCCAGGGCACTGTAACCCTGAAATGTGGCTACAAATCCCTTTCAGTATGGGTTAAGAGTAGCTTCAACGAATTACACCGTAATACCACTGCACAGTGTTTCTTCAAGGGTTCATATTCCACTTTCATTCAAGGAACTATGGTTATGCATATTGATTAAGTGAGCATGAAAACCATGTTTATTGTAGTGGTTTCCAGATTCTTCCAAAATTTATTATTCTGCCAAATTTACTATATCAGGGAATTTCTTTGGATCCTCAAGCCAGAGCACTGACTGCTAAATTCAACAGATAGGTGTTCCTGCTACGAAGTCATTCCCCCATGCATGCATGTTTCAGAATTTTGCCAAGATAAATTAGCAAAGTCTTACAATTCTGTCAGTGAGCTAAGTGTCTCCTCCACAGTTTGACTTCATAATTAGTCCCCAGGAACATGATGAAATCTGATCCCTACATCAGCATGGAGGGACAAGAGGAGTGCCTGTTCTCTTGCAAATGACACCCTCAGGCAGGGTCTTCAAGAAAGACAGGAGCAGACACCCAAATACAGCCAAATGCGGAGGAGGGGCAGTTTGGCCAGCTAGGGAGACCATATAGCTGTGGCAGTCTGGATCTCCACTTTCACCAGCCTCCTGTGTGTCCTCCTTAGGATTCGCAGTTCCTCCCTTTCTGGATCAATTCCTGAAATTTTATTTTTAAAAATTCTCTCCCCAGCCCAACTGTTTTAAGGCCCTTGGTTCTTTCCAGCAGCCAGTTTCCACCCACCCTGCCCTCAGTCCTACAAATGCAGCCTGTAGCACTCTGCACACAGCCTCTCAGTCCCCCTGGCCACAGCCTGGCCTCCACCCCAACCTAATCTACAGGGGTCGGGGCCAGCCAAGGCCCAAATGGGCCCCAGACAACAATCTGGAATGCCTTTCAATCTTAAACCACCCAAACAGCCAGGCCTGGAGGACAGTGTGGGGCTGCGAGTGGCAGAGAGCGGTACAGGGCAGGAGATGGCAGAGCCAGACACTAGATGCCAGACTAGATAAGCTGCTGGAAATGGGAGGGGGCCTGGGAGCAGCGTTCCTGGGCGGTGAGGCCATCTCCCAGCCATGGAGGGCGGTAGGCAGGAGCCTCTGATCCTCCAGAGGACTCAGCTTCACTGCTATCGGATGAGGGAACTGTGATTCCAGGAAGACAAGACTGGTAACAGGACAGCTCCAGGGAGCCGGAAATTAACCCACCAGCCAGTAGCAGAGGGGCTGGTCTGGGGGGTAATTAAGGGGCCCTGCGATTTAGGAACCTTTAGGCTAGGCCTGCTTTTCTCAGGGAGGGAGCTAACATCCTAGTCAGGTAGAATCTGAAAAGCCTATAGGAGAGGGGGGTCCATCCCTGTTCCCCACCTTCCTTTTCCATTAGCCCCTTTGCCCATCCTCTGTCCCACCCTGCACACAGTTCACAGTCCATGCTGTTTGCCACCGTGGCTCATCCCTAGCCTCCCACTTAGAGAGCCTTTCCCTTGCTGACATACCTCACCCAATCCCGCCCTTCCGCCAAGACCCTGCAAGGCCTGATCGTATCCACAGTCTTCCTGGACCAGCGCTATGGGAATGAACCTCTTCGACCCTCACAAAAACATGGCTGTTCTGTGTTATGGTGAGGGCACAGACAAGAGTGGCCCAGTGATCTGCCCAAGGTCACAGAGCAGACCTCGGACTAGAACTCAACCCTCCTGACTCTCAGACTAAGATCTTTCTACCACAACGAGGGCTTGTGAACCACAGTCAACCTGTGCAAAAGCCAGGACTCAGACTAAGGGTCACCAAGAGTTCAAAGAGGGTGTCATGGTGCTTATGGAATACCTACTTTGCTCCAGATTCTGAGGTGGGGAACAGTGCGCAATGGCAAACACAGGTACAATCCCCATTCTTAGGGAATTTATAGTAGCTTACAGGACAGAGAAGCCCTGGGGTTGCCTGGAGGCTAATTCGACATAAACCAAGAAAGAGAGAAAATAAGAGACCCCAGGCTGGTGGAAGTTTGTAGTGAAAGCATTTGCTCCAACCTAGAACCCAGGGTACACCTCTCTGGAGACACAATGTGTTGAGTCAGTTTCCCGTCACTGTGATAAAATAACTGAGATCATTTATTACTTGGGCTCATGGTTTCAGAAGTTTCCATCCATGCCTGCTTGGCCCTGCTAACTTTGGTCCTGTAGGTCCCAGTACATCATGGTGGGAGTGTGTGACAAAGGAGCACTATTCACATCACGATGGCTGGGAAAACAGGGAGGGAGAGAGAAAGACAGGGAGGGACCCCCAACATCCTCTTTAAAGATGCACCCCCAGTGACCTAACTTTCTTCCACTAGGTACCATCTTCTAAGGGTTCCACCACTTTCCAACAAGTGCTGTAGGCTGGTGACCAAGCCTCTAACACAGGAGACCTTTGGGCCCAGATCTGGAGAGCAGGTGGGCAGCAGCAGGTAATGAGAGACAGGGAGGGCATTCCAGACAGAGGGAAAGGCTCATCATGGAAGTCCAGGAAGGCTGGAACTCACAGTGGGGGAAAGGGTCTGAGATTGCAGAGGGAGGTCCTGGGCCCAGATGACACAAGGCTTCTGAGCAGGACAGTAGTTCTTTAGCCTACAGGAATGGGGAAGGTGCTGGGCAGGGGAACAGTGCACGTGCCCAGCAAAGAGCTCTAGCTGCCATGGGGGGAACAGGTTGGAAGGGGGCCACCTGGGCATGGGACAGCCCAGAGGACAGGCAAGGAGAGAACACCTGGCGCACCTGGGTTGGGATTCTCTGGGACTGGGAAGAGGCTGGGGAGGGGGAGGGAGAGAGCAGGGAAGCTTACAGTTCTCCGTCTCTGCAGTGAGGGGAGGGTGGGCATCTACCACACTGCACAGCTTTTCCTTCCTGCAGCTGCTCCCCAGACAACTGAGCCTGGCTCAGAGCCAGGAGCTCCCTGTGCAGAGGTGCTGCAGCAGGCACAGCAGCATGGGGTGAGCAGCAGGGGGCCTCCCCACACGGAGGAGTGAGGTGAGCAGCCCAAAGGCCAAAAGGGTCCTGTCCCCGCCCACCCTTCTGCCATCACACAAGAGTGCACTGACGCTAGCTCTGTGCTCAGCCCTCACACCTAGTGGGCGCAGCAGTCCGGGCCTTACATCTCTCTGAGGCCAGAGAGCAGACAGTAACCAGCTGACTCAAGCACAGCGCAGAATGGGACCCAGATGTCCTTAGCCCCTGGCTGTCCGATCCCTGTCCAAGAGCTGGAGGGGTTCAGGAATAGAGGTAGAGGTAGCAATAGGAGGCTAAAGAGAGGGGCGAGAGGACAGGAGGGAAGGTGGTGTGGGAGAAAGTTCCAGCCACCCTCACCGCCACCTAAGGGTGATTTGGCTTTCTTCTTCTGTCTGCCCTCCTAGGGCCCAAGTCAGCACCCCATGCCCACAAGCCCCTTACCACCTGTGGGTGGTTGTGCCCAGTTCTCCTCCTGTCAAGCTTCACTTAGGGCCGTCTGGCCAGTGCAGAAGGGAACCGGACAGAGGCCTGAGACCTAGCTGGTGGAGACCTGTTGAGTGGAAAGGGAATTAGAATTATGTGGTTCATGGCTTGGTTCAGGGTGTGAGGAGCCCAGCCCAGGAGGAGATGGGCCTTTTCCAGGTAAGAAGGAGGAAAGGTCCAGCTGTGCAGACCCTGAAGGATGGCACAGCTGCCTAAGTCCTGGCCGGCCAGATCTGGAGGGAAGGAGTCTGCAGGAGGCCGGGACGAGGCAGAAACGGTCCAAGCCAGCAGGGGGTGCTGGTGCAGCAGAAATCCAGTACCAAGGCCATCAGGGAGCCTGCCTGGCCCTGCCTGCTACAGGCATGGAAACCACTCTGAAGCAGCACATGAGCATAGCACTAGCGCCCCACTTGCGTTTGAACCACGGTGGCTACTCTCTGGGTGGCCCTGGGCAAGGCTACTCAGCTTAGGTTGCCTTCACAAATGCCATAGGCTGGATGGTTTAAACAGCAGAAATTCATCTGCTCCCAGTTCAAGCTGCTGGGTCCAGTTTCTGATCAGGTCACTCTTCATGGCTTTCCCTTCTTGCTGTGCCCACGTGGCAATGAAAAAGAGATACGTACTCTGTCTGTCTGTGAGATCACAGCCCTATAGGGCCCTGCCTGTACGACTTTATTGAATTTCAATTACCGCCTAAAGACCCCCATGCCCCAGGATAGTCCTGTTAGGGGTTAGGGCCTCAGCATACAAATTGGGGGGAGGGGGGATGCAACTCAGCCCCTGGCAGGCAAGCCTTTTCAGTCTGGGCTGCAGCTTCCACCCTCACCTCTGGAGGATGATGTGTAAAGCACTGACCCATTGCAGGGAAGGGTGTGAGGTCCATGTTAGGGGGCTGCAAGGAAGGGTACTAGCACCTCTGCTAGAGGTGGCTGAAGTCCTTGGCCCCAACCACTGGCCCAGGGTCCCTGACCTTCCCATACAGATTAGGGCAGGTGCCCAGTGATGGCAGAGCCAAGCCTTCAGCACAAAAAGGGGCTGCAGGCCATAGGAAGGAGGGCTCCATTCCTGGGATGGGCTGGGACCCCAGCCCTTAGCTGGGTTCGGTGTGTGCACTCAGAAAACACTTCCTAAGGCCCAGTCTCAGGCCAGGCTGTGTGTCAGGTACAGAGAAAGCACATTTGCCTTGTCCTCCTGACCCGGCCAGGAGCACCTCCTACAGTCCACATGGCCTGGCGGGGCTGGCTGCACCCATTTAGGTCAGCACTGCCTGAGCTCCTGCTGGTCCTGCTCTTGACCACCTAAGGCCTGCGACTGCCCCCTGTGGGTTAACAGAGAAACTCAGCAAGTTGACTAGCCATGGTCTATCATGGGGAGAGCCAGGGCCAGGACCAGACCGGCTCCCACTACCCTGATTTCTCCTTTGCGAAGTCCACTGTTGATCACTGGGGCCGCTGGTGCTAGCAGGAGGGGTTTGCATTCGGGCTTTGCTACTGGGTTTGGGGGTCTTGGCTGTGTTGTTCCCATGTTCCTCCCTCCCTCATGTTCCCTACCTGCACAGGAGCCCCCTGAGGCCTCTGAGAACACAAGGAACAGCTTTGGAGAGTTATATGATTTCTCTTCCTGCTCCCAATGAACTCTGTGAGGTTGGATTTGGAACTTAGCTACAGAAAAGAGCACACAGTAAAAACCAGGTCCACCTGACTCCAGAGCCTGCACACTTCATACATACACAGTATGTCAGGGCAGATCGATTGTTCCTTCTCTGTAATGAGACCTCTAGAAAAACACTTTTTGAAGGGAACTCTCAATGGCAAGGGGCCTTCTCCTGGGAGACCCTGAGAGCCTTCTCTGGAAAGCCTAATGTCCTGGGCAATCAGCCTGATTCTGCTGTAGATTACATGATTTTGAGAAAGTCTCTTATATCAAACCTCAGTTTCCTCCTCCTTAAAAAATGAGGGTAGGAGCACAGGACATGTCCTTCTTTGTTCCTTGTCCCTCTTTGTTCCTTGCCCCTACCTGTTCTACTCCAAAGGCCCATAACTAGGCTTTCCTCTCCAGTGCACCCCAAGAGCAGCACCCCTGAATGGAGCAGAGGCACAGTCTCCTTCCGGGGTGAGGACCGCAGGAGCCCATCTGAGTGCCCCACCAGATGTGCTGGGTTCCCTTTAGACTCCCTGCAGGGCCCCCTGGGAAGCTGATCCCAGATGGAGAGGAAGAGCCTGAGCCACAGGGACCCAGGAACAGGCCCCATAGGGACCCTGTGGAGGCAGAGGCAGTGATATTCTGCCTTGTCCTTCTCTGGTTCTTTCGTTGGTCTGCTAAACTTCTGGGTCCCCTGACCACAAGTAATGCCAGAACCCCAGCCTGACCTGAATGGGCCCCACCCCTGGTATCTGAATGACTCTTAGTTCCCTGCTCAGGCCTTTGGGCAGCTCAATTACCTTCATATGAGCTTGGGTTTTAGCTCGAATGCCACAACCATGGCCCACCCTCCTCGCCCACACCAGGATCCCGCAGGGCCAACAGCTCCATGAACGGATTCTGTGCTTTGGAGGGAACAGAGAAGAGTCACAGGCAGGGAGAGCTGCCAAGATCCCCGCGGCCAAGCCGGAGGGAGGAAGGACTGCAAGTGCTTTGGAAAGAGTTTCTGGCAAGCCAGCACATCATTTTTAACCAAGATGTCCAGTGTTCCTTGAAAAAGGGCAGCCTCGGGCAACAGAACCCCTCTCTGCCTCTCAGGATCCAGCAGAAAATCTGCTCTTTGGCTGGGGTGACCCCTCAGTTGTGTTAAAGGAAGCTTCTGTCCACCCATGCTCCATCGTCTCCCACACTGTAAAAGTAGTATTTGTGTAAATAAATTTGGAGAACACAACAGCAGCCCAAAAAAGCATAATAAGAAAAGCCACCTAGCCAGCCTTCCCACACGCACTGTCCACATTCTAGAGTCAGCTTCTGTTCTGGAGTGGTCCTGCGCTCAAGACTGTGCTCTGTAGTCTCCTGATCTGTAGTATTTGTCACTCTGTGTGAGTTACGGATTAAAAACTGATGGTCAATTTAACACCAGCTGAATTAAATCAGCATGGTGCTGAGCATAGATGTTGCACCTGAGGAAAGTTGCCTTCATAAATAGAGAGGTGGAGAAGGAGAAGCTAGGATTTGTGGGTTTCTCTAAGTGTTGCTGTTTGAGCTGTTGGTTCTCCTGGAGGAGCTCATCATGACTAGCTTCCCCAGGGTGAGTTCGACCATTATTATTGGAGGAGCTCAGGACCTTGTTGGTGAGAGTGGCTGTGGCTCACTTTGGGGGAGCTCTGGTCCTTACTTGGAGCATCGCTTTCCTGGCTCTGGAAGGGAAGACATGTGCTGTTTAATCTCCAGGAGCTACTTGTCACGCTGGCTTTCTGGCATGTACTCAACTGTTCTTACCCTCAGAGGAGCTCGGAACCTCTGTGTCGCTGAGGATGGCTGTGGTGCTTTTAAGGACAGCCCTGGTTATTTTGAGCGTGACTTCTTGGCTCCAGTGTAGCCAGTGTAGGTCCCTCAACCTATCAGCATAGCTCCTCACCCTGCTGGCATAGACTTTCTAGCTTCCACCACTGATATTTGGATCTTCCCAGCACGGGTCCATAAAACGGGCGTGAGTCCTTCTCATGGGCTCTAGACCACCAGTTAGACTATGGGAAGCACTGTCATGGGCTCTGGATCTTCATCTGGACTCATGCAGACATTGCTGTGGGATCCGGGCCCTTGGCTGAATATTCTGGGTCTTTAGTGTTGTGGACAGAGTTCCTGTACTTTTTTGTGTTAAACTCTGGGTGACCACCATAAAACAATACAAATTTTGTGTCCTGATTCTAATTGTTCTCCGCACAACCCTGACTACAACAATGTCCTTAATCCTTCTAAGACTATCTCTGCTATGCTCAGAGGCTCACAAGCATGTCATTTTTCTGCTATTCCAAACCAACCTTCCTTCAATACCTTTGGGCCAAACAACTTTTCGCTACTTAAAATACTCACTAAGGATGATTTGTAGGAAGCCAGGGGTAGTAGGTCAGCTGCTGACATCCTCCTAAAGGTGACTGATTCTTCACTCCCCTGCAGCATGGTGCACACAGGGTACAGTAAAGCCAGGGGCTGGGATGTGCTGCTCCTAGGAGTCATGCAGGAGCCACACCTACGATTGTAAGTGGGGGTACAGAGCAGTGATGGTTTCGAGGTTATGGGGCACAAGAGCAATCTGTTCCTGTGGCTCAGGATGGCAGATCCAGAAAGACAGTTTCAAATTCACAGACCAGCCAACCTTCTGGACAGAGAAAATCATCTGAAGCTGAAAAATGGAGTCTTCGTAAGGGAGTGATCCCTCTGTAGCCAGAGGCATGCAAGCAGGGGGAACAGATTGTCCAAAGGTGAGTTCAGTCTTACACTGGGCTGCGTGCATTTATTTGGTTGGTCCCTTGGCAGACAGTGAACAGTTACTGATGCCTCTGTGAGTTACTGATGTTCTGTGCTGGATGCTGGGGCAGCTGAGACAAGTCTGTTTCCTACAACTTCATCATGACCCTAGAGCAGGAAACCCTGGGAACAGGGTAAAGAGGGTCCTAGGCCATCCCGAGGGACCGAGAAAGCACTGGAGGAAAAAGAAAAGGTAAAAGGGGAGGACGGTGGGACCAGAGGAGGCAGGGACCATTTCTGGGCGGAGAGGAGGCCTCATGGGGACTGGAATGAGGAGGAGGAGCTGGTTGTTAGGAAATAGCGGGAAGAGCACTCAAGCAGAAAGAAAAGCAGCAGCCAGGCCCGCCTGTGCAGAGGGGTCAGCCTGTGCAGAGCTTTCTGTGATGATGGTCATTCCCTATCTGCACTGTCTAATCTGGCAGCAGCCAACACCTTGACAGATGGTCAGCTTGACTGGGAAGTGGGGTTCTTCACTATGGTGCATTTGAATTAGACTTACACGTGTACCCTATTGGGCGCCATAGGTCTAGAGGCCCTGGAGTCTGGAAGCTAGATTGGAGGAAAAAGATGATGGGGGGCTGGCCTGGATCACCTGGCACTTGCTCCTTAAGACCACCTGACCCACTGAAATTTGAGCCCCTTTCTGGGCCATGGGGGAAGTGTGCTTTGAAGGGACTGATGGTGGAGGTAGGAATGTGGGTTCAGCTGTGGAAGCAGGATAGGCCTGGCACGGGTAGATCAGTACCACCAGGCACCTGTCCCTGCCCATCTGGAAGCTGGAAGGGAAAGATGAGGGCAGGGGTAAGTGTCGCAGGAGTGGCATCACCTTGGATATCACTGGCAAACTGTCAGATACTAGTCTCCCCCACATCCCACCCACCCTGGACCCCTAAGCCTACCGAGACCAGCACTGCATTTGACCCTCACAGTCAGTCTTATCTCAGTCCTATTGCAGCATGGTGGGGCACCCACATGGCACCTGGTGCCCTACTCTTCCCAAGACAGTGAGAGGAGGGTCCCTGTGGCCTCTAGAGCCAGCAAACACTACTAGCTGTGTAACTGCATGAGACCACCTCTCTGAGGATCTCCAGGGCCAAGGGGTAGAGGGGTGTGCATGGGTGAGAGTAGCTGTGCAGGACTGATGGGGCTGTATGCAGCTGGGCACTGGGTAGCGGAGCTGGTGTAAGTGTGCGTTCCTGGAGAAGCCCACTCCCTAGTTGGAACATTAGCCATGATGCACAACCACTGTACTATTTTAGCCCAAGCACTGATAGAAACTAGAGACCGGGGCTGGAGATTTAGCTCAGCGGCATAAGCACCTGCCTTGCAAAGCATGCAGTCGTGAGTTCGATCCCTGGTACCGATAAAAAGGAAAAAGACCAAAAAAAAAAAGAAAAGAAAAGAAAAGAAACTAGAGACCAAGTGCTACAGGGCTGCCATCACTACAACCACTGTCAGCATGACTTCCCTCTAAATGGCACCGAACTTGCTCAAGAACACGTGCTGCCCTGCCTCCTCGCCCCTGCCCCAGCTCACCAGACCAGGCAAGGCGCTGCGAGTGTGGCCAGGTAAGCTCCCTACTCCGCAGTCAGGGGTACAGGGAGACCACGTGGGTCCCACCAGGCAGACACGCAGGAAGTCACGCAACACCAAGGCCAAGTCTCTAGGCTGCATCCTCTGGGTACCCCTCTCGGCAGCTGCTGTATTCACTGTCCCATGAGAACTTGCCAGAACACACCATCGTCTCTGTTTTGTGGCAGCGGGAAACGAGGCCTGGGAGAGGAGAGAGGCTTTGCTTCCAAGCTCACTCTGGCCCTCCAGTCCCATCTGCAGGCCCACATGTGGTACAAAGGGGACCTAACCATGACTGTGGGCACTGGCCAGCTCACAGAGGCAGCATGGACGTGGGTTCTTAGATGCCTCCATTCGACCTCCCTGTGTATCTCTGGCTGTTCAGCTCCACATCTGTCAAGTGCAAACAAAAACCTCAGCTGCATATCCCTTGCAGACTGCAGCTGGATGCTGCAAGCAAGGGTTCCAAGCCTTTACTGCTGCTAAAAATGCACAGAATTCTGGAAACTTCAGAGGAGCCTCAGGTCTCCACTTGGGATTCTCCAGACTGGCCTCTCATCTTTGACCTGCCCAGAAGGGCAATGAAATAGGCTTCAAGCACAAGACAAGTGACAGGACAGGAGGTTCTCAGCATGCAGCAGACACTCAGTACAGGACAACTCCCCCAGCCTTCACTTGCTCCCCAGCCCTGGGGAGGGAGGCCCAAGCTCACTGGCATTTCCAGAGCTGCTGGGCGCCAGGGTGGAGGTTGGAGGCTGGCACTGATCGCAGCTCCACAGCCAATTGCTCACTAATCCACCCTCCACATCTGCTTCTGAATAACTTAATTAGCCTGGAAAGGCTGCTGGCAAGCTGCCAGAGAGGGCCAGGGAGGGGCCCACAGTCTCCTGACAGGCGACCCCCCACACTGTGGGGAGGACCCTGGAAGGACAGGAGGCCCTCCCCTCTGAGGAATGCGGCCCTCCCTCATCACAGCAACCTGCCCCACCACGACTCTGCCAAGTTGAGAGTCTTAGACAGATGAGGAAACCGAGGCTCCAAGAGGACAATAGGATACATATCAGACAGGATCAGATTTGAAAGAGGAAGGGGGGTCCCAGCTGGGGTGGAGAGCTCAGCCCTCCAAGACACTTAGGAAGAGTCCAGTTGGCTTTCTTCCCATGGGAGAAGTTGAAATGGCAGCCACTTACAAAACTGCCAGAGGGACTACAGGTAGACCTCAGGAAGACCTCAGCTGTGGGCCAGCTGCAAGCTCAGCCCTGGAAAGAGGAGCTTGAGCCATGAGGACACGTTCTGAGGTGGGCATCTGGCCACCAGGGGAGTCTCAGACCACATGCCCAGTACCCAGTGTGCCTGTCCTTCAAGGGGCCTATTCAGAGCCAGGTCATCAAAAGGATGGGTGTCCAGGATGACTCTCCACTACCTCAGGGGTGCTGTGAGCTCATGCCTGGTAGTGGCCCAGGGCTTGGGACCTGGCAGCCGGGGTGGAGCTCAGGCAGGGCAGGCTTCAGCCACTACTCACAAGGCCCTTTCTGACTCCACCAGCTGCCAAGCTGGCTGCAGGCCAGGGCCTAGGGGAAGATGCGTGTGTGTGTGTGTGTGTGTGTGTGTGTGTGCTTATGCGTATGTGTTACTCGGAGGGACATAGAACACCCAGAGAGCAGGAGCTCTGTCCCGTTCATCAGGCCTGAGGCTGAACCTCAGTGCCTGTCAGGCTCCTCTTCCCTCCACTGCAGAAACCGCCCTGAGCCCTCAGCACACTGTTCCCCGCCCTGCACTGCCAGCTCCTCCTTCCTCTCCATCCATAGGATGGGTCCTTCCACCCCTGCTGCAGCCTACCTGAACCCAGGCCACCACTAGCACTCCTGAGGACTGCAGCCAAGTCCTTGCCACTGCTATGTACCTGCTGCCTACACACACACACACACACACACACACACACACACACACACTTACATATATACACTCACATATATATTTATATACATACATATACACACAACCATGCACACACATGTACCAACCCACACAAGCATATATCCATTCATGTATATGTACACACCCAGAAATACACATATGTATGTGCATGCATACATATACATAATACCTACATATATACTTGCACGTATACGCGTACACTTAAACACACACACTCCACCGTCAACATGTCTTTCCAGAATTCACATCTGACGAGGCTGCCCCCATCCTTACCCAACCCACTGCTACCACCTTGCCCTCCTGCTCCCTTTCATGGGAACCCCAGGCACTAAGCAATTGAAAACACGGGTTTGGCACCTGTAATCCCAGCACTCTGGGAGGCTGAGACAGGTCAATTGGAGGCTCTAGCCCAGCTTGGACAATGTAGCACCTTAGTGAAACTCTGTCACAAAATAAAAAGTAGAAAGGGTTGGGGAAAGCCCTGGGTTTGATCCCTAGTACTGCAAAACAACAACAACAACGAGCAGGGGTTCCAGAACCAGCCAGATCTGGGTCTGAGTTCTGGGTGGGCCATCTGTGACCGGCCCTCTCTGGGCCCTTTCCTGCCCTGGAAATCAAGCTGCTAGGCCCGCGGCATTGAGACTTCACAAGTCATAGGTGGCTCGGTGCCAGCCTGTGCTCCTGCTTTGCCAGGCCACTCCCACATGCCTCTCTACCTTTACCAGGGCCACAAACCCTCACCGGGGCCACCCCTATCTTCTCTCTGCCTGGGACCACTCATGATTAGGACCTGGGAGAGTGCAAGAATGACATGTGAACCCCTCAGTTGGACAGGTGGTCGCATAAAGAAGTACACACCAACACACTCATACACACAGA